CCAGGACTCCTGGGTTCTCTCCCTGGCTCTGGGAGGGGAGTGGGGGCTGGTGGGTTAGAGCAGGGGGGGCTGGGATCCAGGACTCCTGGGTTTTCTCCCCGGCTCTGGTATGGTGGTTAGAGTGGGCGGGTCGGGGGTGGGAGCCAGGACGCCGCGGCCCCAGGCCTGTTACCAGTTGTGTCTCTCAGAACTTGGGCCAGCCCCGCCTGCCGCACCAGCGCACCTCCCAGCCAGCCAAGAAAGCCAGCACGGACCTCCTGGCGGATATAGGCGGGGACCCTTTCGCTGCTCCCCAGCCGTCCCCCGCCTTTGCCATGTTCCCTGCCTTCCCGGGTAAGTATGGGGGGCAGCGGAGCCACAGGACCAGCTGCTCCCTGCCCGCACCAGCCATACAGCGCTAATGTGAGCAGCTAGAGCGGCGCCCCCGTGTGGTGATACTGGGCAGTGCAAGCTGGGAGGCACCATAGAGCTCTCGGCTACAGAGACACCCCCCATGCGGTCATGCTTGATAGTACAGTCTGGGAGTTGGGCAATTAGAGCTCTGAGCTAGCGGGGCCCCCATGTGGTGAGACTGGGTATTGCAGGCAGGGAGCTGGCTGACCATAGAGCGCTGAGCTAGTGAGGCCCCCATCTGGTGATACTGGGTAGTGCAGGCAGGGAGCTGGCTGACCATAGAGTGCTGAGCTAGTGAGGCCCCCATCTGGTGATACTGGGTAGTGCAGGCTGGGGGCGAAAGACCTCTCTGGCTTCAAGATTAGGCTAGATAAGTTTATGGAGGGAATGGTTTGATGGGATAACGTGATTTTAGTCAATTAGGCAATAACGTGCCATCGCTGGTAAAATGTGGGTCCGGCTGGAGAATCTTGTCTACTGATCGCCATATTTGGGGTCGGGAAGGAATTTTCCTCCAGGGTAGATTGGCAGAGGCCCTGGAGGTTTTTTGCCTTCCTCCGCAGCATAGGGCAGGGGTCTCAAGCTGGAGGATTCTCTGCAACTTGAAGTCTTTAAATCACGATCTGGAGACTTCAACAGCTGAGATAAGGGAAATAGGGTGGGCCAGCTTTTGTGGCCTGCATCATGCGGGAGGTCAGACTAGATGACCATAATGGTCCCTTCTGACCTTAAAGTCTATGAGTCTACTGGGTAGTGCAAGCTGGGAGCTGGTTGACCATAGAGCGCTGAGCTAGTGAGGCCCCCAGGTGGTGATACTGGGTAGTGCAGGCAGGGAGCTGGCTGACCATAGAGCGCTGAGCTAGAGAGGCCCCCATGTGGTGATACTGGGTAGTGCAGGCTGGGAGCTGGCTGACCTCTTGTGTCCTTCCCAGGCCAGGCTCCAGCCCACGCTGCCTTTGCCAATTTTGATGCCTTTGGGTGCAGCCCGGTAGTGTCGGCATTCGGGGGGGCATCGGTGCCATTCCACACCCAGCCGACAGCTGCAGGTAATGCTCCCCCGGCCCCTCCCGCTGCCCGGGCCTTCCTTTACCTGAACGCTGCATCAGAGAGCGTCGACACGCAATCTAGTGGTTAGAGCAGGGGTGCGGCCAGGACTCCTGAGTTCTCTCCCTGGCTCTGGGAGGGGAGTGGGGGCTGGTGGGTCAGAGCGGGGGGGGCTGGGAGCCAGGACTCCTGGGTTCTCTCCCCGGCTCATGAGAATGGGCCGACCGTTAGTCTATCTCAGCTGGGAATGTGCGGGTGAATGGTTGTCCCATGTGGGGATCTTCCCCTGCCACCCCTCTTTGGGTTGGTATTTCTGGGGGACTGTCCCCATTCCCTGCTCTCAAGTCCTGGGGTCCCCCTAGCTGGGAGGGGGGGTGGGGCTCCCCTGGGATCTCTCTTGCTTTAACCCTTTGCTTTCTGCTTCCTGTTTCCAGCCAGTCGGACAGTCCCAGGCGGTTACAGCTTTGGTGAGATAATGATCGTGGTTTGCTTCTCCCTTGGGATACGGGACTTAGGGGTCAGGACTCCTGGGTTCTCTGCCCGGCTCTGGGAGGGCAGTGGGGGCTGGTGGTGGGTTAGAGCGGTGGGGCTGTGAGCCCAGACTCCTGGGTTCTCTCCCCAGCATGTGGAGTTGGCTGCAGGCTCAGGACGGGGAAAATCAATTTGAGTTTAGTTGGGAGTGAATATAAAAATAATGTTCCCCTGAGGAGTGCAGCGGTGCCTGGCATGGGCACCGGGGGAGCCGGCGCTGCTCCCTGGCCTCTCCCAGGTGATGGGTGAAGTGGGGCCGGGTCAGCCTGGGGGCAACCTGCACCCAGTGCCCCGACCTCCAGAAGGAGGGCGTGCGCCTTGGCGGGGGTGACCGCGCTGTTCCCTTCTGTGCCAGCAGGGGGTGCTCAGGTGAGCGGCTTCGGCGCCTCCCCCTCCAGCCACCCTAGCAGTGGGATCCCGGACATGGGCGGAGCACCCAGCAGGTATTAACTTCCTCTCCGGACACCCCCCCCCCCCCCCCCCCCCCCCCCCCCCCGGTGGCCCCTGGGCAGGGGGACCCCAGGAGACTGGCTGGCCCCTGGCTCAGGACCGTGGGGAAACCAGGTGCATTGTGGGTGGCCCACTCTGATTAGCTAACACCGTCTCTCTCCTCCGCAGCCTCTTTGGGAGTCTGAGCCAGCCGGCGGCCCTGCCCCCGCCCGGCCCCGTGCCCGCCTACGGGGGTAGGTGGCTTTTGCTTTGGCCCAGGGGGGCTCTAGCGCCCGTCGGCAGCCAGTAGCAATGAGCCACCTCTCCTGTGCCACCCTCTCTTCCAGCCTACGCCAACCCCTTCGCCCCGCCTGCCGCCCCGCCCGCCCGACCCAACACCAACCCCTTCCAGCCCAACGGCACCACGCCAGGTGAGCCCCCGCCCTGGACGCCTGGGTTCTCTCCCCGGTGCTGGGACGGGAGTGGGGCTGGTGGTTAGAGCAGGGGGGGCTGGGAGCCAGGACTCCTGGGTTCTCTCCCCGGCACTGGGAGGGGAGTGGGGGCTGGTGGGTCAGAGCAGGGGGGGCTGGGAGCCAGGACTCCTGCATTCTCTCCCCGGCTCTGGGAGGGGAGTGTGGGGGCTGGTGGGTTAGAGCAGGGAGGCCTGGGAGCCAGGACTCCTGGGTTCTGTCTCTGGCTCTGGGAGGGGAGTGGGGGGCTGGTGGGTTAGAGCAGGGGGGGCTGGGAGCCAGGACTCCTGGGTTCTCTGCCAGCTCGTCTCTCCCCCTGCAGGTTCCAGTTTTGATGGGTTTGCTGCAGCCCAGGTGGGGCAGCCGGTCGGGATCTCCACCAATCCCTTCATGGTGAGGACCATCCCATTCCCAGCCGGTCGGGTTTCAGTGGGGCCCTGCCGGCGTTTGGCGTCTTCCCCTGCTTTCCAGGGGGTTCCCGCTACAGCCCCACAGCGAAGCTGGAGGGCCAGGTCCAAGCATCGTTTCCCTAGGGCAGAGCCGCTCTGTTGACTCACCCAATCACCCAGATCAGATCTGTCCCATTATCTGCACAGTGTGGCGCCCTCCTTGGTGGTTTCTGCATCCCCCGGCCCCTGTGTTGGCTCCCCTCACCCATGGGCGGTGCCCCACTCCCTCTCTGTGGGGCCCGGCTGACAAGCAGCCTTGGACCTGGGGTCTGGGCTGGGTTGTGGGGTACGAGTCGGGGATCCGACAGGCATTGGTGTCTGACTGTGTGAGTAGTTACAGCCATCCGTCTGTCTGCTGCCGTCTGTGCCCCATCTCCCTAACTCCCCTTTGTCCCCCCAGACGGCAGCTCCGTCCCCGCCCTTCGTCATCAAGCATCCAGCCACCAACCCCTTCTTATAGCGAGGTGCCCGGACGGCTGCTCTGGGCTGGAAGTGCCCATCCCATCCAGCAGGGGGCAGGCTGCTGCAGCCACACACACACCCCGCGCCGGCTTCTGGCTGTGCAGCCCCGACGCCGTGGGGATGGGCTGGAACACGTGCTTTAACTACTGCAATGGCTTCTAAGGGAAGCGGCCCCGAGGAGAGCGGTTCTGGGCCCAGCACCGAGGCATTCTGGGACTTGTAGTCTCGGTGGGGATTTTTCAGCAGGGCATGCTGGGAAAGTGGAGGGGGCGGGAATGTGGGTCGGGGGTTAGCTGGCCCTTAAGCGGGGTTTGGGATTCTGCCGGGCCTAGTGGTCCAGAGGGGAACCCCAGGGGAGCTGGAGGCGGGGCAGCAATGCATTCTGGGAAAGGGAGCCCTCTCTGCTTCTCCTCCCAAGCAAGAGGGGCTGGGGTCCCTGGGGGGCTGGGCTGTCCCCTTCTGAGCCGCTCTGACCCCACCCCGGTCTAGGCTCTGCCCGAGTGAGATTCTCCCCACCCAGACCCACTAACAGTGCAGCCCCGGCCCCTCTTCGTGGAGTGGAACCCAGGAGTCCTGGCTCCTCACTACCCCTCCCCCCTGCTGTCACCCCATCCTTGGCCAGCTGCTTCCTCGCAGCCCCTGCGTTCCAGACCCCCTACTCCCGAGACAGGGATGGGGGGACCTGGCCCGGCCTTCAGGCTCCCCCCTCCCCCGGCTCTGCCCCGCAGGCTGCTAGCCCTCGAATCACTGCCCCCCTCCCCCGTTGGGGGGCTGGCCGTAGCCACTGGGCGCCCCAGATCCCAGCCCCACAACAGCATCCCCAGCACGTTCTGCCCCCCTGACGGCGTGCGCTCGGGGTCCCCCTCCCCGCTGATCTTCACCAGGCCTGCACCGAGGGCAGCCCCCCTCTGCTGCAAGTGCTGGGGAGAGAACCCAGGAGTCCTGGATCCTGGCCCCCCCTGCTCTGACCCACCTGCCCCCGCTCCCCTCCCAGAGCCGGGGAGAGAACCCAGGAGTCCTGGCTCCCTCCTGCCCCACCATTTGCTAATTTCTTTGTCAGTTTCCTCTCCACTTGGAATCCTTTTCCTGCCCCTCCATCCCCAGGACGCCCCCAAACGCTGCTGCCAATGGGCACCCCCCCCCCCCCCCGTGGGAGATCACCCCCCACTGCTGCTTTGGACAAATATCCCCTCGCTCAGCTTCACACCCCCTCCTGGTTTTGGGGGGGCCACGCTTTGTCCCCTCCCCCCCGGAACAAGGGGCCGTGCTGGCAGTATTTTTCTGAGAGAAAAGTGAATGATCTTTTTAATATATAGAGACGTTTTTGGCGCTGGAAATGGTTCTCTCGAGATCGCTCTATAAAATCTATATTGGACCTTTGTGGCTGCTGTCCTCTGTGGGGGGGGACCTGAGCCCCCCGCTGGCCCTCCTGGCACCCCCCACTTCTGTGCCCCCTGCCCAGGCGCCCTGGCTGTGACTCCCAATCCAGCGGCGCCTGTCGCCTGGTGGGCTGAGGGCGGCCCGCTAATGCGCTGGGCCCCATTTGAGACCTTCTGCGTGCGCTTGTGACCCTGTGTGCGCTTGTGATTTTGCATGCAGTGCGCTTGTGATCTAGCATGTGCACTTGTGATGTTGCGTGCAGCGAGCTTGTGACCCTGTACGGCCGCCTGTGATTGTGCATGCAGTGCGCTTGTGACCTCACGCATGCCTGTAGTTGTGTGGCCTGCAATGAGCTTGCCTGCTAATGCGCTTGTGCTCTGTTGGCCCCCGGAGTGTGAGCACTGACGCACTCACAAGCGCGTGCGATCCTGTGCGTGTGGGAGCGTGCACACATGTCCTTGCCTCATGACAGGGTGGGTATGTGCTTAGCATCTCCCCCACTCCTACCCTTGCGTGTGTTTAGGGTCAGTTGTGCGTGTGCAGCTTGCATCTCACAGGTGCTTGTGAGGGTGTGTCCTGCTGTGTCTTGTGATCCTACACAAGCGCTGCTGCAATCTCGTGCTTCTGCACCAGCCCTGCCTGCTGTCTCTGCACGTCTCTCGCACGTTCTCTGGTGATCCTGGCTGCTGCTCTCTCCCCTTGTACAGCTCAACGTGCACAAATGCTCTTGCCTGCATGTGACTCTGGAGGTTTGCAATGCCTTGCACGTCTTCTCCGCCCCGTGTGCCGGTCACCTCTCGCAAGCTCTCCTTGTGCCTTGGCCCTCACACACTAGTGCATTCTCACACACTTGCCCTCCCACACGCCCACTTGAGCTTTCTCTTGTGCTCTCCCAGGCCCCCTCAGCCAATCAGCACGCTTTGCACCCTGATCGCAGGCGCTCTGGCCTTATCTGAGTGATGCCAGCGGGTCCCCACGGGTTCCCCCATGCCCATCCCGGGCCTGGCACCAGCAACCACTCACGCGCTTGGCGGTTCATTGCACGACACCGACGCGTGTGGCCACATGGGGCATTGCTGCCCTGCCTGTGGGTGGCTCCAGGGCTTGTCACACGGTGCCCCTGGGTCACAGGGCAACGGGGGATGTTTGCTCTGCCCGGCTATCCCACCCGCATGGGATCACTCTCTTGTGCGACAGCCCGTGCCCCATTCCCTGTCCCCCTGAGCCAGCCAGTCCCCGCCCTGGGTCTGGGTGGGAGCCGGCGCCCCCTAGAGGGGACAGGCCCCTGCCCCATTCCCCCCCCCCCTGAGCCAGCCAGTCCCTGCCCTGGGGCAGGCCGGGGCGTGGGGTAGGCGTCCGCTGTGTGCAGTGGAAACAGAGGGGCTCTCAGACGCAGGCCGGGCGTGTTTACCTACAAACAGCACCAGACCCAGGTTGACAAAACAGGCCTGGGAACCAAACAGGCACCGTGGGGCTGGGCTGGGGGGCTGGCAGGTCCGACGGCTCTGGCTGGGCCTGTGGGGACAGAGAGACGGGCTGTTCGATGTGGGGGGCACCTGCTCCCCTCCAGCCTCTGCTGCACCGGGCCCCCCCAGGCTGGGCAAGGGGCCTGCTGGGCCACCCAGCGTCACAGATACACACACCCCTCCCCTCCCAGAGAACCCAGGAGTCCTGGCTCCCAGCCCCCACTGCTCTACCCACCAGCCTCCACTCCCCTCTCAGAGCCCGGGAGAGAACCCAGGCGTCCTGGCTACCAGCCCACCCTGCTCTAACCCACCATCCTCCCCCGCCCCCTCCTCACAGCGCCCTCTGCCCTGCCCTGCCTCCTGCCCCACAGCGCCCTCTGCCCTGCCCCACAGGGCTCCCAGAGGTGCTGTCACTCACGGGTGGGTTTAGATCCAGGTGCCCCCTGGCGGTGGGGTGGGGACGGTTCTGCCATTGGAGCCGTGGTCCCATCATAAGCGGATGGAGAGGGGCGTGGCCAAGCCGAGGGGCGTGGCCGCGAGAGCCACGCCCACCAGCATTCCAGACAGGTGGCCTGTCAAGGAGCTGCTGCGGAGGAGAGATGGGGGTTAGAGTGGGGCAGTGCAGTGCCCCGTGCCCCACAAACCCCCTGCCTTGCCCCACAGCATCCTCTGCCCCACCCCCTGCCCCACAGCAACCCCTACCCCGCCCCCTGACCCACAGCGCCCTCTGCCCTGCCTCCTGCCCCGCTGTGACCCCTGCCCTGCCCCACAGCGCCCTCTGCCCCACCCCTTTGCCCCACAGCATCCTCTGCCCTGCCTCCTGCCCCACAGCAACCCCAACCCCGCCCCCTGCCCCACAGTGTCCTCTGCCCCACCCCTGCCCCGCCCCATCCCCCAACCTGCCCCCTTCCCTGCCCCCTGCCCCACAGCACCCTCTGCCCCGCCCCCTGCCCCACAGCACCGCCTCCCCCACCCCTGCCTGCAGCCCCCCCGCCCCACAGCACCCTCTGCCCCGCCGTGACCCCTGCCCCACAGCGCCTTCTGCCCCACTCCCTGCTGAGCCCCCCATCCTGCTCGTTGCCCCATGGCGCCCACCTGGGGTATAGGAGGGTCACGGTGAAGCACTCAGCCAGGCAGAGCCATTTTGTTGTTATGGTGACGCTGCCCAGGGTTACTATGGTGACAGGCGCTAGGAGACCCTCCATGGCTTCCAGAGAGAAGATGACCCCTGCAAAAGGGGTGGGGGGCGGATCGGATAGGTAAAGCAGGACGCCTGGGTTCTCTCCCCGGCTCGGGGAGGGGAGGGGAGTGGGGGCTGGTGGGTTAGATCGGGGGGGGGGGCTGGGAGACAGGACTCCTGGGTTCTCTCCCCGGCTCTGGGAGGGGAGTGGGGGCTGGTGGGTCAGAGCAGGGGGGCTGGGAGCCAGGACTCCTGGGTTCTCTCCCCGGCTCTGGGAGGGGAGGGGAGTGGGGGCTGGTGGGTCAGAGCGGGGGGGCTGGGAGACAGGACTCCTGGGTCCCATCCCAGCTGGGCCCAGGTTCCCTACCTGAGAAGCCCACGGCGCAGTGTTCCCGGCGCCAGGGATCTCGCAGGACGGCCGCCAGCCCCGCGTTCAGCCCGAGATGGACCAGCCCCCCCAGCAGCGTCATGCCCCCCAGGATCCAGCCTGCTCGGGCGCTGCCCACCCTCCCCTCCAGCCCCGCCCCCAGCCACAGCAGTGCCCCCATGTTCAGCCCCAGGTGGCCCCATCCCAGGTGGTGGAAAGGGGCCAGCAGGAGCCGCTGCCACTCGCCCAGAGCCCAGACCCCCTGCACGCTGAGGCAGGTGTTTTCGGGGGACCCCAGGGGGCGAAGGTAGAGCCCCACATTCAGGGCCACCAGGAGGAGGGTGGCAAGCGGCGGCCTGGCTGCAGACATGCCCTCTGGGGGGCTGCCAGGCTGGAGGGTGGAAGGGGGGGTCCCTGGGGCTGGGGGGAGCAGGAAAGTAGCATTGGGGGCAGTGCTGGGGGCTAGAGAGAGGCTCACCAGTGAGGGGGGCAGCGGTGCCAGGGCAGAGCCCTTGTGAGGTCACCGCTGATGTCTCGGGGGGGGGGGTGTCAGGGGATTGTGGGAAGGGGAGGGGGCGGCTCCGGGAGCAGGTCGCCCCGAATTGTTTATCTCGCTGGGAGCTAAGAATAAACCTTGTTCTGGGAAACCAGCGTCAAGACCTGCCGTGAACCCGGAGAGCCGGGGCCGGGCGGGACTCGGGGCTGGGCTGGCAGGGACTGCGGGTCGGGATTGAGGGGCACCGGCAGAGCTGGGGGGGCAGGGCTGGGCTAGCAGGGGCTGTGGGTCGGGAGTGAGGGGCACCGGCTGGGCTGGGGGGGGCAGGGCTGGGCTAGCAGGGGCTGCGGGTCGGGAGTGAGGGGCACCGGCAGAGCTGGGGGGGGGGCAGGGCTGGGCTAGCGGGGGCTGCGGGTCGGGAGTGAGGGGTACCGGCACCTGCTTTAGGATTCCAGCCCCCTTCCCCCATGAACTCCACGGCTGTTTACGGCTGGTTCAAGGACTTGGTGGCTGATGGCTATCAGGGCGGCTCACGCGACCCAGCCGGGCTCAGCCCAGCCCATCTGGGCTACGTTATTTACTATAAACAATTCCCCGCCGGCCCTCTCGCTGCACGGAGGCCCGTGGGTGCCCCTCACTCCCAACCCGCAGCCCCTGGGAGGCCTTCTTGCCAGTGTGGCTGGGCTCAGGTCACAATTGCTGACCCTCAGGCCCAGCCTTAAATTGAACCTTGACACCAAGGACTGTTAGACTCTGCAGAGCTGAGATAAGGGGCCCAGGGAATCTGGTGCAATAGATACACAGACACCCCTGCCCCCCCACACCCCCACCCCCGCACCGGGCAGGGGGCCTGAAGAAACACAAGGCCTGTCCCTGACTAGGGATGGGAGTGAGGGGCACCGGCAGAGCTGGGGGGGGGCAAGGCCGGGCTAGCGGGGGCTGCAGGTCGGGAGTGAGGGGCACCGGCAGAGCTGGGGGGGGGGCAAGGCCAGGCTAGCGGGGGCTGCGGGTCGGGAGTGAGGGGCACCGGCGGAGCTGGGGGGGCAGGGCCGTGCTAGCGGGGGCTGTGGGTCGGGAGTGAGGGGCACCAGCAGGGCTGGGGGGGGCAGACCGGGAGGGGCAGACCGGAGGGAGGCTGGGTTTATGTCTCCGTCATGTACTCATGGCTGCTCAGTCACCCCCCACACGCACACGGTGACCACATCCAGTGGCCCCCCCCACACCCTATAAACACAAGGGGACCCCCCCATACCAGCCTCCTTCACCCCCCTTTGCCGTGTGATGCCCCCGAAAGACTCCTCCGCTCTCTGGAGGTTTACCAACCCCCACCCTGCCGCTAGCAGAGCTCAGCCTCTCCGTGGCCCGCAATAGCGGGCCGTGCAGCAGGTGTGGGGAGACACACACACCCCCCGGCCACCTGTGCCCTTCGGAGGAGGTTGGGGGCGGGGGTGAGGGAGGGTGGGCAGCAGGTAGGAAGTGGTTAAAGGGGGG